ATCACCATGTAGATGGTTTGAAGTCCGATCCATTAACATTAAACAGAAAAATGTGTCGTCAACTTATTTAACAACGACAAGTGCTATTGAGAAATTTAATGACACTATAGCCACTAGAAGAAATTTTGACTATGTGCAACTGTGAAAGAACTTGCTGCACAAGAAAGATTTATAGCGATATTGTTTCCTTTATGCTGTAGGGTTAAGTGCATTAAATGTATTGCTGTTGCATAAACAGACTGAAGTTAAGTGTTAAAACATGTATGCTGTGTACACCTTTCTTTAAATACTTTTTTTATGATTTATTGCTCCTCTGTAATTTTTGTTCCAGACCTTTGCAGGTCTTTATTTTCTTGCATTAATTACTGCAAAAAAGGAATGGTACGTTGAAGTGGCCATCATCCTCAAACGAATTCTCTGGTCTCGTGAGAAGACACAACATTTCGAGGTTGAAAAGTAGAGGTTCAAACCTTGTCTGGAATAGAATGGATTTAGGCTATAAGATGACCTAAGAAATGGGAAAATAGTGCTCGTTAATAGTAAGAAAATGGAATTTCTATTACTGTGTTTTTAGAGAATGTAATGTGACACAGTATAATTTCTGAAAAACTCGCTCTCCGATAATGAAGAAGAAGGAGGAGAGCGAAGAAAAAAAGATAGGAATCCATGCAAAAAACCACTCTTAAAAAAACTAAGTCATTTGATCAAATTTTTTTATGTCTCTTTGCGATCAGGGAGTTATTTATTTAAATTTTGAAACTTAGGTAACTCAAGAGCAAACAGGACGCCCTAATATTCCCCTTCTTTCCTCCAGGCACTCGTTCCTCTGTTCGACTTTCTGTCGTCCACATCCGCCTCGTACACGTAAGTGTGTTAGCAGAGGGGCAAAACAAATATCTTGTGAGCTGGAGGTCAGTGATGGCCTCTTAAGCTAAGCGCTCAACATCGACAGCCATCACCTTTTTCCGTATTTGCTCATTTTTTTTCAGTTTGAAAGGAAAGAAAACGATTCAGTCTTGAGCCCGAGACGGTGCAATACTTATACCTAAAACTCTACCACTCTGTATTCAACAAGTTTAACACGAAAAATGAGAAAGAAAAGGACAAGATTTGAAACCGAAAGGTGTGATCACTGCACAGACAACTGAACCACTCCGCCAGACGAAACACATGCAAACAAGATAACATCATGTCAAGTGTATGATACAGAACAACATTGCCTTTTTTGTCTTACCACAGGTTTGCCCTATTCAGCTACACGCGCATATATCATAATATTTTAAATGTATTGCTTGATTAAAGATTCGTACTTAATGATTCGTCGGATAATTAAAGAAATATAAAAAGCTTGTTGCTACATCACCAGTCATAGTTTATCTGAGAGGATATCTATGTCTTCGATGATTGAGTTGCTGAACACCAATTGATCATAAAGCCTTATTATATGAAACCAAAGGTGAAGTTATTCACTGTTATTTTTGAGGTGTTGAACTAGCACTTTCTCTAGTGCTAAACTGACACCCACCAGTGGTGTTAAATAAAAGGTGTTATTATAACACCAATATTGGTGTTGATTTAACAACATATGACCTTAAACATATTGTAGCGTGTCAAATTTACACCTCAACACTTTAACACCTAATTAATAGTGCTGAAATAGCACCTTGCTCTGCCACAAAGGTGCTAAAGTAACACTGTTTTTTGGTGTTAAGTGGTTGGTGTTAAATTAACACCATTAGCAAGAGTTACAATAATTTATAAAGGGCGTTATTTCTGCACCACTCTCCTTGTAAAATCATGGGTGTCAAAATAACACTTATTTTAACTGTTTTTTTAACTTATTTTTATACTTATATCAAACTGCAGCTGTTTTCGTTCTGACACGGATAACAGAACAGTTGACTTATGCGTTCATTTAAACAGTTTAAAAACTTCGTAAAAAATAGCGGCAATACATATGTTATATTAACCAGAGCTGGATTAAGCATGGATTTTATAGGGGGAACCTTGGCTTTGTGAGTTCTTTAAAACCTAAAAGTAATAAGAAATACCGTTTTGGCACACCTAAATGTAACCGTGTTGACCAGAACATAGATGGGTGAGCACCCCTGTGCACCTGCCCCCCCCTATAAATCATTCACTGATAATAAGTACACAGGTTAAACAGTAAATAGAATAATTTATACCAAAGATAATCAGCTTTTAGAAAGGCCATAATATATACATTACGATAATGCATGAATATGCTGTGTTCAGGAAAGTAAAATTTATTCTACATCTATTTCATATCTATGGCAAATGTATTTTGTGTTACACCCAAATGGCTTTATCAAGTTAAATGGCAAATGTGAGGTTAACTCTTTAAAATATTTAATTTTAATTTCCTTCTGTTTTGACTGAGCAACTTCATAAGCCTGATAATGTTCAGAAAACCTGACAGTCTGTTTTCTTGAAACAACAAACATGGCATTTGCAACATTTTGGTTAATGATATAAATACCAATAACTTCCCAAAACTGGGGAAATTCAACATCATCATAACCAATGTGGACAGTAGCTCCTACTTTATATTTTGTTCCATTGATAGTAATCCATTTGGTACTAAAATTATAATAGGAAAAATATTAATATTATTTAGTTCACAGCAATTAATTGTGTACATAAACTTTACTGAAAAGCAAGTAAATAAAGAGCAATTTCAAGCAATTTCATCATTCACAATGAAGATATTTCAGTCACTCGACTAATTACATCAATCTGACTTACCTATACAATGGTGTTTGTCTGTTCACTTCAGGAGATTCTGTTCGAATGAGCCCACTCTCTTCAACATCACCAACATATAATGTTTTACCTTCAGAAAGACGAACATAAGTTTCTCTAATTACTGTAGCTGTAGCTTACATAAAAATAAAACCAACTCAGGATAATGGATGCACCATTGAGCTATAACTATATATTGTATCTGAATGAAAGAAATCATTAAGAAATGCACCTGGCCCAATTTCAGTGCCTTTGCAAATAAACGTGCTATTTCCACCTTCAGCAGACTGTAGGCGATAACAAACTCCTTCTTGGTGCCTCTTTGCCAACGAGTATGGTAGGTTTATAAAATTACCAATCACTATTGCCAACCTCTTAAAGTAATGGTGTTTTGCTTCGTAGCGCATGCACCAACTTCGCACAAGAGGCCCAAATCTGTTAATTGATACAGAATACAAGAAAGAATTGTAAATTAGTTTTGAAAACTGCAGGTTTTTGAAGCCACATGGTTTGTAATTGTAAATCAGAATTCTAAACTTACTGAAGTATTGCTCTTGGCATATGAACCATGTAGTGCATCTTTGGAATGATACTGCATTCTGGAAACAATTCTTTAAAATTTTGTAATAACTTTTGAATGAGTATTTGAAGATATGAAACTTGCTCTCTGCTCACAATTGGAGTAAAACTTATACGAACAATTTGAAGTAAGGTACAGAGTAACCCCCAGTGCTGATCATCTACTTCTATAAGGTCACCAATAAGAAATGGCAAATGTAAGCCAAGACACCACATCTGATTTGCTAATAGGACGGAAAAGCGTCACAAATTATCTTCCTGAGGGAACGTGTGCTTATTACTTCATTTTTAGGGATCCCCTGACCTTAGAATACCTTATGGTATCAAATAGTTACATACTGTATATAGATCTATATAGAATTTAAGGATTCTTAAAATAGTGGAAAGGACATTAATGTACCGTGCTGCTTTAAACTATTGTCTGATGAAAGAAGTCTTTGGGCTTGAATTGGAGCAGGTTTATTGGTATCATTATGATAACCAAAATCAAATGCCCGCATCCTTTTATTAAGGTCGTCTAGTTTGAAGTATCTCTTTTCAAAGATGAATTCTTTTAATAATTCTTTAACAATGTATTGTAGCACACCTTCCAGTATATCATGCATAGCATCTGGGGGGAGTCCTCCAATGACATGATAGTACTTTGAGTAGTTAAGTAAAGAAAACTGATTCAGGCCATAAGTTTTTGAAATGCTCTCCTTGGTCCAGTTTTGACACTGCTCATTGTAACCTTGCACTGTTCGCAAAACAAAGTCATCCTCATGAAACTAAACAAATAAGTTAAATTAAGTCACCCTAAGCACAAACAGTATCTACCACTGAAACCATTTAAATTAATTAAACCAACACATTGTCTGAAGTAAAGCACTTTTATATGAACTAAGTACTTTTTATTTTCAAAGTTTACATACTATGGAGAAAGCATAAACCATGCAATAGATGCAGTGGCAAGTGTCAATTAAGCATTACTGTAGCTACATTATATATACCATTTCAGTTATTTCTGTAGCATTTCCCATACAGACTCTGCATTTTCTGTAAGACTGTGATCCTTGCTTAAACCCACCAAGATATTGTGAACCAAGATTATCTCCAGATATAAATGCAATTGTTCCTGCAAAGCATCTTCGCTGATTATTTATTATAAACTCATAGCCACCAACCTAAAAAGTTAATTTATTCCTTAATTTATTAGAGTTCTTAAAAGAACAAAACATGAAAACATGCATCAACACTAGTCCAATACCTGTTCTAATTTTTGAAGGTCTCTAAGAAATGCTCTTAGCACAGGTTCCACACCATATATCTTGAGATGCTTACTAGACACTAGTCCAAGTAGTTGAATGGAATTGAGGTGAGACCGTGTTCAGGGCGATATTGCCCAATGTATAATAAAAAGCGGCTATATGAAATGCAAAAGGTAACCGGAAAATTTAATGAAATAGACATTTTAAACCTACAGTATGGGAATTACAAGCACATTAAATTAAATTATGGTACTAACCTAATTTATGTTTGTTAGCTCTTGATCCTAATGGGTTACAAACTTCTACTTCATCAAAATAAATAAGAAGTTGCAATGCCAAGGATCTTTACTGAATAGTGGGTGCTCTTTAAAGCCTTCACCATCACAATAATCAGACAAAAATCACTGTTGCAAAATGAGGATTTTCCACCTACACAAAATTGGATCGGATACTGTCATGTGCAGAACAAAGCTAAGGCAATGGTAATATTAAAATTTTCTATATTCAGCATTGTGTTCAATGGACAATTATATACATACATCACATGCACATGTAATCAACACAAACCTCGTTAAGAATTGACTCATCATTAAGAAGCTGTTGCAGACTTTCCAACAAGGGAATATAGTATGCATCATCTGTTTTTTCGACATCTCTCAATCTATTTCCTCTTCTTTTCTTTGTGTGGTATTTTCCAAGAACAATCTTTTGTGGTTCCTAAAAAGTGAAATATTGATTGTAAAATTTTGATTACTTTTTTTATAAATTTCTAAACCAATTTTACAACTTACCACAAGATTAAACTCCTTCTTGTAGTATTCATATTGGAGATACTCTTGGTCAATACCAGCAAAAGGATTTGAGATTGGGTTGTCTTCATCAAATAACTCATTCACCTCTGGTAGGTTGTTTAAGTCAATCCCAGCGTTTTAAGGCAGCTAGTTATACCAGAATTTAAAAGGTTAATGCTTGTTTGAGTAACCTTCGTAGCATTCTCAACGAAGGAATCAACAACAGTTTGAGGTACACGTCCTCTGTCTTTGAAATTTAACAAACATAAAGCATTCGCTCTAGATAAATTGTCCTGGTCAGCCATAATGTCAAACTCTTCTCCTGTTCAGGGTCTGTATTATCAATCTCATGATTTTGATTAGCATCGTCGTTTCCCTATCAGTATTCAACTCTGCGCTGTTCCTCGTATTGCGCACGATGTTATGTTTTCGAATAAGGTGATTTCTCAATGATAAAAATTTCTTAAACGTCCTGGCACAACCATCGATGCCACAAACAACATGAAAATTTGGTTCATCACGATGAACACGGCCAATATGTGTTATTAGTAATTGAAGAGAATCTGAAACGAATTCTAGGCAAATATTACATCGATATAGACGCTCCATGACATAATTCACTTCAAGAATACAATTCACTTCTGAAGAGAGTGCCGGCTCAACTCTGTTACCATATATGGTGTGAAATGTGATATTAGCGACTATATGCAAAAACGCGGTAAAATGCTTATAGCCAACTGTCACTGTCAAACTGTTTCATATTTCATTTCATGCTTTTCATCGTGATTTCACCTGTTTGTGCAGCGTTGTAAATTATATTTTATTGTGAACTAAACGTAAAAGTCAATATTACCAGGCTAACAGAGCCATTGGATTTAAGTTATTTGCTTTCGACGCTCTCCCTTCTTTTAAAAAGGTAAATACAAAGCTTTTTTGAATGTATTTTCTTATGAAATTTCTTGTGACACATATTTCTCCTCGTGCTTATATTTCATGTAGAAATTTTGTATTTGTGTTGTACAAATTTTATACGTTTAAGGTCGGATGGATTCCACGTTGCTTGATAATCTTAAGAAGGCAGGGGTAAAGGACAGTGTAATTTCTATTCTTGAAGATGAAGAGGTATGTGTATAAAATTAAATTTAGCACGAGTGCATGAATTTTTGCGTGTTGACGTTGTGACTAGACGACTTTTTGTTGCTTTTGTTAACACTGCTTGGTAAATATGGACTCCATACCGAAAAAACAATACTTGAATTTAGTGGGGAAAATTATTGAGGGAAATAAAATGTAAAGATAAAAAATGACTAAGTAATCTAAGACGTCAAGCATTATGAGTGAAAGTTCAACTGCTGTGGCTCCAAACTACATTAGACTATGAAGTAAAAATACCAAATCAATATTATTGCAGCATGCTAAGTTGATGTTCGAATAAATTACTTCATTTTTTTTACTCCGGTCTGCGGAATCCTGGCAAATGTTAAAGCCAATAAATTAAGCTGTTTTAGTAATTTAAAAAAGTTATTTGGAAAACGTTTTTAACAATGGCTTTGGATGATAGTTCTCACTCGGAAAGCGAGTTTTACTATGCCGACGAGCTTGGAAATATCGTGGAAAATGTTAGCGAAAATATAGCAGAAAACGTAAACATGGATGAAAGGGACGAAAGTTTTACGCATGAAATTCAAGATTACATTATGGCACAACGGCCATAACCGCTTGACAAGAAATAAATACGTTATTTACCGTTTATATTTCGGTCCGAATATTTTTTACATTTATTTCACGCGCGTTCTGATTGGTCAAAGCCCAATTCAAACATCAAATGGCTGTTCTTTTTTCGCTTGAAGCGAAAAAACAACTCGACCAGTATCCTCCTGTACGAACCTCTCGCTCAGTCATTAACATATATATATCTTTTTAATTTAATTTTGATTTTTTGTACTTGAATAGTTTGATTCAGCTGGTATTTTAAACAATACATCTGATGAGCTGTTGAAGGCATGTGGCATAAAAGGAGGGCAAGTTATACGAATCAAAAATGCATTGGCAACGATTAACAACTTGGACAAGTTTCTACTATTAAGAAATGTTCCATCCACCATTGAACCATCCACCCAGAAGATCGCTTTATCCACTAGTCATTCCTTTGCCATAAATGACAATGTCAGCAATTCTTCAGCGTCAATTGAAGAAGCTCATTTGTCAACAGGCACACCGTCACCTACAACATCCAGTACACCTCGACATACCATAGCATCTGAAAAGAGTGATCAACCTTCACCAAGCTTTGTACTTGTGGAAGAAAGGAAACCGAACAAGAACTGGATAAAAGATTTTAAACTTCCTATTTCTGTATGTTAAATAATATACCTCATAATAGGTCACATTCTGATGTTAAAATTTATCTTTTGTATTTTACAGTTTTCTCCAAGAGTGAATGAAGCACTGCAAGCAGGAAAACTTAATGGAAACCTTAGGGATGAGTTTACTAGGGACATTTGTTCTTCTATTAAAGCTCATACAATGTTTCCATCCAGAGAAGAAAAACAAAGAGTGGCGTCCATGATTGTAGAAAAATATACTTTTCTTGTCGATTCACTTGGAGCTGGTACAGTAAGTCATATTCATATTATTTAATGCATATGATAATCTTTAGAAGAAATCCTATAGCTTTGCTCGCTATCTCTTATAATGTACAGCATGAACTTTCTTCGTTACAGGGGTCATGGTTGAAAGCAATCACTAATCGATTCAAAAACATGCGTAGAAAGAAGACAAATTCAACAACAAGATCTGTTTGTGTGTCTCAAACTACACAAAAGCAGCCAGAAGCACAAATGAAAAGACGTAAGCTGTATGATGTTTATGATATGGATAATGGTGAGACTGCAGAAACGTGCGAAGAACATAAAAAAGCCATGGTAACCGAGATGACGAAAACAAACAAAAGATATAGACTAATTAAAGAGCTCATGGAGTTGACCTACCCTACCGGCGCCAACAATTTATAAATGAACCAAAAGTGTTGAATGAGCTACTGACTGAGTATCCAGCTCTTCAGCTTGTTTCAGAGGTAAGAATAAATATTTTTGAGCAGAACTATTGCATAGAACTATCCTCAAAATCATGGGGCAGCTAATTTTACCAGTTGTAGTTGACATCTTTGCAGTAAACTTGCTTTTTGTAACTTGTATTTTGCAACTGGAATAGGTAAAAGCAGAATTTGGTCGAATTTTGGCAGACCAAAATGCAGCCAGCAACATGGTTATCCATTACAATAATATGGTTCAAAATGTAATAAAATGGGCAGGCAATAGTGACAACAAACACATAAAAATATTGATGTCAGACATGGAGGCCATGCTGTTGCAAAAACCTAATAAGGAAGCTGGTATGTGTATTCAATTAAGTCTGTCCATTTACAGAGTTCCAGCGGTGGATTTATGGGAGGGGTGCACAGGGGTACTCACTTCTCTAAGCTCTCGTCAACAGCGTGGTGCATAGAGGGATAAAAAATGGCATTTTTCATGACTTTTAAGTTTTAATTAACGCTGAACATTTACTATTATTATATATAAAATATTTAGCGAATTTATTTGTTTCTAACATTCGGATTTTAGTTGCTCACAAAACCAAGCCCCCTAAAACTCTATGCTCGATCCACCACTGTAGAGTTTCATCTTAAAGCATGAGCACTTAAATCTACAATGGCAAAATGCGTATACTGTAAATATTAATCAGTTGGTTGTATATTTTGCAGATATAAGGAGTGCAGTTACAGCATTGATTATTCAGGTTGTGTTGAATGAAAAATCCACGGCAAATTGCTTAGTTTTCAAGATCTGCTGCGTAAGTAATAGATATCGAAACTATATAAAACTGCATGGATAAAATTTTATGTATGCTTTAATAAAATACAATTATATTACTGTCATGACATGACAATATTGTGTCTCACTTTCAATGACCTAATAATTCTAATTGTGTTTATGTTTATGCTGTTGTTTAGGAAGATGACTCTTTTGATGATGAAATAGCAAACACCACCTACCCACGACTAATTGGATCGGGAGAATTAGGGAGTCTGGACCCCCTTGTAATTGCTACCGAAGGGCAAATTTTTTTAGATCTGTCAAAAAAAAATATAGAAATTTCATTGTCTATAGTACTACTTCTAGGTACATTTTATGTACTTAATATGGAGTATACACCAAAGGCCTGTAACATTTATGCCCTTTTGGAAGTAGTTTTGATGGGTAAGCCCGCAAATGCAAAGAAAAGGGTTTCAGTTCAAAAGTTTGTGAAAAGTTTGGGGCTTGAGAGATTATAATATAGTAGTATTTCTAAGATGTTTTATATATTTAGTTATATATATATACATTTAACTTTACTTGTTTCATATATTGACTTGTTTATAGTATGTTTTATGTTTTGTATATATTTATATGTGTGAATACATGCATATAAATCATTTGATTTTTTTAAATATATTTAATGCTTAGCATTTTTGTGTCGCGTGTTTAACTGGCCTTACATAAAACAATAAGAAAAGGGGTTACAAAATAACACCGAATTTAAGTGTCATTTTGACACCGGACGTTAAGGGCTAAATTAGCACTTTAAAAAGTGCTATAATAACACCAAGAATAGGTGCTATTTTAGCACCAAACTCGGTGTTAATTTAACACCAGTAAGAAAATAACACCCGAAATGGTGTTATTCTGTACCTTTTAATTTAACACGACTTTTTAGTGTTAAATTAACACCTTAAAATTTACAGTGTTTGTAATACTTTTATATTCTCTTTTATTCCACTCGAAATCGTGACTGAGATATTTAGTCATGCTATTTTTAAAAAGATATAGGACTTTGCGTATGGAAGGAATCCATGGTCTTACGCGTGTTGTGAAGAATAGAACTAGTTCTTTAGTGTTAAAATTCACTTTCGGTTTGCGCAGAGAAATTAAGCAGGCTTCTGCGTCTTTGGTATAAATTGACCAATGTGATTATTCCCGTTCAAGTTGCTTAAATCACTTAGATTTGGTCAGTGATTTTAGCAACCTTCACCAATTGAAAGTTTTCTTAATTTAACGATAAGGTCAATTCGACCAACAGAAATAAAAATATTTCAAATACATGAAGTTAAAGCTGATCTGTATGAATGATCAAGTAAAGGTCCGTCGGTTTCCGTTTCGACTTTTGGTTGCTTGTTCAGACGATCCAATGATTTTTTTGATATTTATATTCTTTTAAATATTTAAACTCGTGTGAGAAGGCATTTTTGCCATCCAGTACATTTATCGATATATTTTTCGTATTTTTGTTCTTGTTTCCAAGTCTTTTTCAAATCTATGTAATTTGACTCGTCGGCTTCCTTTGATCATGTCGGATAAAAATTGAGCAAGTTCTAATTCCATCCGATTATATATATTGACGGATTGATTTTTTCAGTTCATTTTACGAATGCCTGTCCGACAAGCATATCGGTCGTGAATTAAATATGCATGATTATGGTTGTGGTAATTCAATCGCTCTTCTCCCAAGGTTTGCTTTTTGTCACAGCGCAAAATACATGTTGTCAACCTCGGTGCCAAAGACCTTTCCTTTTTTGGATATAGAAGCAACTGGAAATTAAACAGAGTGGAGTAGCATAAGGCGCAGTTGCCATGGAAACATTTTTGTTATTTTTTACAAACACAATATTGAAATACAAACATGGCATTAGTATATCGTTTTCCGTTGCACATTCTGATACACTGTAACTAAGCCGTCTTTCACCACAACGTTAAATTAAGCAAAACCACTGAACTAGAGTGATGTTTTTTAATAGTCAATATTCAATAGCAAACATGGCTTGTTTCGCATTTTTATCTTTTCACAATTAGTATATCAAAATAAATACAAAAAAACTTCCTACAATAATTTTGGTATTATTTACTGGTAGTGGTGGCAATATTATTTAGAGTTTAAATTTTTCTTTTTCAATCTCAAACTAGTTTGAAACAAATCAAATGGTTATCAATCCTGTATTAAGAGACAAATTCGAGTAGGGTATTGCATCAGGTGAACAGTAGCGTCATCAATAGTTTTGGATAGAAAGGAGAAGGTATGGTCATTTAGTTTATCGTTTTTGTTGGTGAAAAATTTCTATAACTAAGAGTCAACATCATCGGAGCGGTAATGCCATAAAGATTTCGCTTTACGTTGACGATAGAAAGAATATTCCCTCCCTCAAAAACATATTGGCAGTGCCATAAAATGCGACAGACTCTCTCTTCCTGTCAGTGCTATACAGTGCAAGTAATCCTCCACAAAAAAAATAGTGAAAGTGCGATAGAAAAGGAGGACTCTCTCCCTACACCACAACCCCCACCATTACAATTGATATATCTGACCTATATGAAAAATTTGCCTGACAAGTTTGATGCTATTGATGAAGCTCGTGCAGCTCGTATCCATATACAATAACGATTTTTAAAGGATTTAATCACATTTGGAACATCTTTATAATGTCTTGCTATAGTTCACAATTGCACTTGAACAGCAAATGCTTTCGCGTGTTGTCCTATATACGAAATGACTAGATGACTTCACCCCGGCTGACTTGAACAGTTTTTTGTTGCTCGAACTGTGCAAACCAAACGAGAAATGTCTTGTATTTCAAAGTATAGGATTGTGGATTAGGTCGTGTTGCATTGGAGATTGTTTCCAGCGCTTTTCTTTGTTTCATCAATGCTCGAGCGATTATGGAGTAAGTCACAGTCATGAGTATTATTGGAAAAATGTAGAAACACGCAAAATATATAGACAATTCGTAAATGTGATAAAGACCTTGAGGTTCTACATGCACACTTCAATGGTCATTCCAACTGCTGTAACCAAACCAACGATGTACGCTAAACCGCAAATGATTTTTATCTTATGTTGACTGAAGAAAAGTTTCAATGGATGAACTATAGCACGATAACGTAGAACGAAAATGATCAACATAAGAACATCATAGAAGTTCCGCTTATTTTAAACAAACTATCTATACACCTTGCATATGAATGAGCAGTTTAGCAAAATTGGAACAATGTCAAATTGAATGAGAAATATGCATAGCAATGCCTGCAGGTCAAATATTGCAAGATGCAAAACAACAAAGTATTATATATTATGTTCTTCAACAGAATCTTCCGTTTTGAAATTGAAGTGATCACAAGAACATTTCCAACAATGTTAAATACACATATTGCGACAAAAAGAATTGCAACATCTCTCGTTGTTATTTTACGGATAGAGCAAAGTACAGTAAGCATTCTGGGCCAGTTCAACTTTTTGTCCAGTTCGATATTAGTTTTACTGACAATTGAGTATTCTTTATTTTCGTAATAGCTACTTTTAAAATAAATATGCGTAGAATCCGTATCAAGAGGTGCGGCTGAGGTTGATTTGGCAAGTCTTTGTTGAAATAGTGGCTACTTTAAAGGAAGCTGCATGTTTTGAAACGTTAAGGAATGTAGTCTTCTTCAGAATTCATATGTGAAATTATGCAAGTACATCAATTGATTTTTTGCAAGTGAAACTCATGTCAGTTTTTCATTTTCTTGTTCAATAGCTCTCTCCTAGTGAGAAATTTATTTTCCAAACATTTTATTGAAAACATTTAAAAATCTAGCTATATTAAATATTGAAAAGGCAGCCCTTAAGAAAATAATATCATGCTTTCCTTGCAAAACTCAATTTCTCATCATTGATTAATTTGCTCGTCGTTCAATTCGGGTGTTACTGAAATACAATTATATTTCAGGGTAACTTAGTAATAAGTACTTTTCTATTGCTTGAATAGATTTTGAATTATCTCGTTCAGAAATTTTTAAGTTCGGCCAGTAAACACAATATTTAGATATAATGGCCGGAAAGATAACTGAAGACAAATATAAGGCCAACTCGGCCGATCAACGATGAAATGAAATTGATTAAGTACAGTTTTCAAGTTTTCTACAGAGATGCGAGCCATAGCTGTACATATCAACAAATGCTTCAATTTAAACAAGTGCAAACTGGCATCACCTGTACTAGCTGGTATTTGTTAAAACAGAATAAAGCTTCTAGTTAACACTAGAGAAGTAAATTTGTTTTATTGTTCTAGAGAAACTCAAATGTACATGCAAGTCAAAAAATTAATCTACAAAATATGTGTTAATGCCGAGCGAACAAGCAGTTTACACACATGGTCGAGGTTCATTTTGAAATTTGACAGGCAAACAGTGCGTTCAATGCAGGGGAGGTAATTTCCCATTGCTCAACTGCTATCCACTTCCTAACACTGATCTGAAATAGACTGGATAACGTACAACGCTTTTTCTGATGCCAGAGCCGCCATATTGGAAGGTCTCACTTGATACAAAAAAGTAATCATAATGTCAATCATAAACATATTTCTACAAAATCCGCTATGTCATACATGCCTTTAAGTTCCGAACATAACTGACCTACCTCGTCATTAAAGCTCTGTCGAAAATTATAGTTGGGTTTCACTCCTTGAGGAGGACCTAGAAATCGGATGATGAAAATATGGGCACCCGATTACTCTGGCTTCGACTTTCGATTGGTTGTTGTAATGCAATGCGCTATCTACTTTATTATATATATCTCTGCTTCCTAACCACAAAGACCTACATATGTTGCTATGCGACATCCATGAGTCTAAAATGAACCCGGAAAATTATTGTCGTCATCATTCTTCATCTCACGTCATGGCCTACGCCCGTCAGGCTCACGCTCACAAAGCGAGGCTTCAAAATCACCTCATGAGTATTCAAAGAGGACACTTTCATTCCACTGATTGCTTGACTTGAAATATTTTTGCTTCGGCCAACCATTGCCCAGATAGCTTGTTCTGGATACACGCTTTCTCGTCCAGTAGCTAATTAGTAACGTCATGACTCACTGACTGCAAAGCATAGATAACCTTTTTCATAACGAGAGATAAAAAGTAATTTACCTGCTAATTTGGATGCAACTTTGAAGACTTTAACTTGTGGAGGATTATAGATTTGCGAAATTGGAGAATTCTTTTGGCGTTTTTTCTCGTTTGATCAATGCTCGGGCGATTATGAAGTAGGTCGCAGTCATGATTATTATAGGAAAAATGTAGACGCAGACATAAAAAAAGAACAATTCGTAAATAAGATAATCACCTCGAGGATCCAAAATGCACCCTTTAATAGTCAATCCAACAGTGGTAACGAAACCATTAATGTACGCTAAGCCACAAAAAATTTTTATCTTTCGTCGACTGAAGGAAAGTTTCAATGGATGAACTATTGCACGATAACGTATAACTGAAATGATCAACATCATAGAAACTCCGCTTACTTTAAATACAGTACCTACGCCACTTATATATGAACATCTAAAAATAAATGGGATACTTTCCATCTGAATAAAAAATATGCTAAGCAGTGCCAGTACGTTACATATTGCGAG